TATATAAAATCACTTCTATTACAATATCAAAAAAATACAAAGAAGCCAGTAGTCCTATTGGTTTTATATAATACAAGACTTAATAGCTATATTTACAAACTCATTCTCAATATTTTTATACTGCAATTCTTTTTTTTTTTTAAATATTAAGATAAGTACTTGTGACTTAAAATTTTATTATAGTATATTTGGCTAATATTGCATTATAACTATAGAAGGCAATTATGAAAAGAGTATACAACTAGCTATTCATACAACTTTAGTTATAAATAGTCTGCCTAAAGGTTCTACACTAGCTGTCATACCTGGAACCTGCTTGTAGGTTCCCTATTTAACTACTTTAGCTTCTATATCCACCTATCTACTTCTGCCTACTAATGATTCTAGTTAATATTGATAAAAATATGTTATAGCCACTAAGTCTTTAAAGCAGTTCTTTAAAACCTTTAATCTTGTACTAAACCTTCCAGAATTTTCTATATCTTATTTTTATAGCTAACCTAGTATTACTATGACTGAGACCAACACTAGTAGTCAGGATGTACTATTAAACTACTATGCTCTTATAGAGTTTATCTCAACCCCGATACTAACTTTACAATATATTTTTACTACTTTGATATTCAATTTAAGTTCTACCAAACTGCTATTCCAAATAGTCCAAAAAGGTAGGCTATAACTATATCTCTGGTTTACATGTTTGCTGGCATATATCATTTTTCTCTAAAATTCAAAAATTCTAGTAACCTGGTTGGTTCATCTAGTTCCTCTTCAAAGATCAGCATATTTGTCTAGTTTTACAAGTTCTAGCTCTGTTTTATAGGTTTAGTCTTTACAATAGCATTATTAAAAGTTTGTATTACCTCTTATACAGTAATTCATATATATTAGCAAATTGAACTTCTATTAAAAAAGATTAAATAATTACAAATAATTTAACTTTCAAAAGAATCTATAATTCTTTAATAAGAATCTTAAAATTTAATACTATATATTATTACTCAACAATATCCTAACTGTCTGCAAAGAATACAACTTAAACAATACATCATATTATACTAAATATTGCTATTTTAATGTAATAAAACCTTTCTACAATTTTTAAAAATAGATTGCAAAAAAAGAATTCATATCAATTTAAAAAACTTTAACTCTAATCTTATTAGCAATATTATAAATTCACAACTAATTAGTATACTCAATTTTTGTCTATACTTTATATTCTTTTATAAACCTACTAATACTATTTTGAAATAGCTTAGTGAAGGCCAACTTTAATACAAAAACTATAATATTTTATATAACAAGTAGATGACAAATTATAGAAAATAATTTTCAAATAATAACAAAATATTATTTTCAATACTCTTACCTAAGTTTTAGATATTTTAATAATTTTTAATTATTCTATCTAAATATATTAATAATATACTAAACTTTATACTTATTTTTTTAAGTTTTTGCATTTTAATAAAAATATATACTAACAATTTTTTTTTTATTAATCTTATTAACTTTATATATTTTATCTAATTATATGATTATCTAATATTAGACAACTAACAACTACCTTTCTTGTGTTAATATTTAAAACATTAGTATATAAGCATATATTTTTAATAATTTTTAATAAAGACCTTTAATTTAAAAAACTTTAAGTATTATTTTTTTGCTAGATTCTGTATCTTAAAAATTTTTATATAATTATTTTGTTCCAAAACTTTTTAAAAATCCTTGCACCTATTTGATTAAAACTACATTAAAACAAGTATATCAAATTACAAACCATTTAGCATAGTTCAATTACTTAACCTGATATACTTCTCAAAATAATACTAATTAATCACTAACTTTACAATATACTGTATATTATATAGAGAAAAACCTTTAATATTAATAACTAATTTAGCTTTTTTAGTATTGAAAAAAACTTTAAAATTAAATTAATATTTGAAAAACTATTTATTCACCTTCCTTTTTATTGAAGAAATATTACAAAATATCTAAATTACTTTTAATTAAGATATTATAAGGTTTTTAAAACTATTATATATCTTTTAATATGATTTTAAAACTATTTAGATCTTGTAATATTAATAAAATATACAGTGCTTGAAACCTTAAACAAGTTAGAAATATACTATTATAATACAAAAAAATTTATTCAAGTCTTTATATACAACTACATTAATAAATAAATATCACTAGAACTAATAACCAATAATACTTTGATATTATTTAAAAATAACAGACACAAGTATAAATATGCTTCTCTTATTTATCATAATACCATTTCAGCAATATATAAAAAAATCTGACTTACTTATAAAGTAATACAATATTAACCTGATTTTACAGTTTCACTACTAGTACTACTGCCAATATTAGTCAAAACTACACTAATTTTATATTTCTTACTATATAAAAAGATACAATACTATGTTATACATAGACAGTCTTCTCTTTATTAGCTTATTAAAGACTAGAGGTTTACTAACCATTCTAGCAAAAAATAGATTAAAAGTAAAGTAACTCTTATCTTCATCTCCTCTAGTATAGTTTCTTCTTCATATAACTCACATATATGTATAATTAACTAATTAATAAAAAGATATAAGATAGACTTCTTTTTTTTAAAAAAAAATAAAAAATTAGTAACAATTATATTTATATCAGAAAAATAAATAGAAACATCACAAGCAAAACCAATAAGCTTCAACAATCACTTGCTATTTTAAAAAAATTTTAAAAAAATAAAAAAAAGAAATATTCAATAATAAGAGATATATAAATGCAAACAGCATAAAAAAGCTTAAATATTAAAGAATATAAAAAAATGATAGAAGTAAAAAAGTAATATTAAATGAAAATTATTTATAATTAAAATTTTGACGTTTAATATAAAAAAAATAAAATCATAAATATTTTATTAGCTAATAAAATTAATTTTAGCTTAGATACACAGAATTCGACCAATAAAAACCCAGATTTATGTTATACGGCAAGTAAAAATTTGACGCCTATATATTTTAGATAAACTGCAGTACTGACTTATTACAATTTTTTTTAAAAAAAATTTAGATATAATACTTTAGGCTCCGACCCTATAAAATGTCACCGTTTTGTTACATCTATAGTCTTAAGAGTTAATTGGACCAGACTGGACTGGTCTCAATACTAAGAAAAGACCAATTCTTTCTAGGTACAGACCGGTCTTAAGACTAACAGTGGTTTATTAGTCTAAGACTAGACCATAACATTCCTAATCATCGGCATAAATAAGTAAAGCTGATGATGCCAACATCTTAGTATAACTCAAGGTATAAATACGTCATTCATTCCTTATTGCAGACATAATACGTACGTACTGTACATACGTCTTTAGATGTTTACCAATAATATGCAATGAAAGTAGTCAAAAAAAGTAATGAATAACGCCAACATTTTACAGATTTTATATGCTTCATACAGAATCATTTAAACCTATTTTTTTATAATAGTATGTAAAATTCAAAGAAATTAGTTTTAGCACAAATTTGCCCTTTACAATAATTTATTATGGATTAATGATGACTTGCGTTTAAGAACATTAATTAGTAAATCCTTCTAAAAAAGGGAAGAATAACCGAGGATTTAAAAGGAAAAACAGTAAATCCAAACCTCCGCAGGAAGATTATATTGATTATGAGGTAGGGAATATTATATCATAGCACCCTCAATTGGTAATAATGCTAGGACTTTTAAAACCGTTAAGCATCGCATCATTTTAAATTTTACCTACCAATTGAAAAATGGTACAGGTTAATTCCTGGCATACTAAATTAATATTAAAGACGTTTTTTCAGAAGATTAAATACTTGAAAATATACAAATTTTATATAAATCATTATGAGTGTTAAAAAATCTGTCTATAGTAAGTATAGTTGCTGTAAAATTACTGAATTGTTATGTCGTAATATCCTAATTAGAGATTGAATTTAGTATAAATTTAAATACTGGATTATATAATTCACGTTATTTCTAAGTAGTTTATTTTAAAACAATTATACGGTGATCATTATACTTTCTTATCAAGTTTTTTAATAAACATATAGATGATGCCTAAATTATTTTTGGCTTGCCGTCAATAAAAATTGCCGAAAAATATTTTAGGCAGCATAAACGGTAAATTATTCGGCAGCCGAAAATATTTTCGGATGTCGAAAATAATTCTGAATGCCGAAAATATTTTCAGCGTCATTATACATAAATTTTAAGATGCATGTCGGAATTTAAGTTAAATTAGGGTCAGGGTATAGGTGTTTACATGATAAAATCAACCCCGAAATGCTGGTTTTACATAAAAATTCCAAATCCACTTAAATTTCTTCCACCCAGTTCAATCTGGTTCCAACAACAGGAGGGAACGTACCCGATCCAAAGTGAATCCCACACACGGTGTGATCAATTAAAACTAAAATAAATAATTTAATTTTAATTGATCACACCGTGTGTGGGATTCACTTTGGATCAACTTATACTGCAACAAATCAACATAGCGGGATTAGATGATCGGATAAAATGTTACACAGTATGCTTTACATATTAAAGTAACCACAAAAATGGATTGGTAGCCATGAATACGAATTGGTAAGGGTTAAGACCCAAAAATTTAAAAGTATATACCTTGTTTTATAAACTACCAAAGTAATTCGGTAATCCGCGAAGTAGAGTTCCAATCCGGATAAATCTGTCATCCATTTATCCGTATATGAATTTATCCGGATAACCATTTACAATTGATATCCAGATAATCCGACAAATATTCGGATAATTATCCAGATATCAATAATAAAACGGATATCCGAATAAATTCATTTCCAATAGATAAATGGATAAACGGATAATGGATAGGAACTCTACCGCGAAGTAATTCGGAAGTTAGATGAGAGCAGGGCCGATGATTTCTATGTTTTACATAATATCACAGAATTCACAGAAATAGGTCTATATCACAGAATATGCTTATTTCACCGCAGAATACCACAGAAAATATAGAAGGGTCACATAATTTAACCACAGAAATACTAATTTTAGGGAACGTCTAAAGCGGAGTAGATTCTTTATAATATATTTATTGAATTAACTTTAGGGTTAGGGCCATCTTATATTTGGGTTGGGTTTTAAATAGTTATATATAAGCAAAATTGCCTTCCCGACATTTTTAATTAACCTACCCGAGGTGCCGTTTTTCGTATTTTTGGGGTTTTTCGTTTTTATTTCTTCTTTGGCGATCATCAAAATTCTATGATTTGATTGGCCCACGGACACATGATTCTGCTCCGCTTTAGACGACCCCAATTTTAGAAAGTGGGTAATTTAATTTAGGCCGGCATCAGTAACTGTCGAAAATGTTGAAAATGAATTACGAGAAATTGGTCGGAAAGTTTCGGAACCATATGGAGTGTCAATAAAGTTTGCTAGAATTTAGGCAAATTTTAGCACATAATTAGTTATTTTACACCGCAAAATACCACAATCCTCAAAAATTGATCACAACACACCACAGAATTTATTTTTTATATGCACGAAATTTTTTAGCACCACAGAAAATCATCGGCCCTGCTAAGAAGTTGAAAAAGGATCGTAAATATACTAATTTTACATAAAATATAACAAACAATCACTGTTATCGTTTAGCACAACAATAATATCTCCTGAAATAATATAAACTTGTGGCTGGAAAAAGGGACAAATTTGACAAAAAATAATATTCACAAAAAATTATCTCGTGAATTATCGATCAGAATCACATGATTTTTGAATATTATTTTTTGTCAAATTCACTTTTTTCATTAGCATCAAGCCTATATTCTACTACATGTATAAGTACATAGTACTATTAGTAACATTACTGTATTATAAATAGTATCTGGCACTATTCTAATATTTATTAAGTTCTTAAATAAGACTCTGAGCACTGTATTTAGCACTAATATTAATACTTTTACTATAATCTAAACTATACATCTTGGTCAGCATTTCTTTTAATAATTATTGACAAAAAAGCTAATTAGACTAGCATTAAACTCTTGTAATGACTTGAAAAAAGATGATATACAGTATCAAAACTGATTTCAAGTTAACAACAGCTTCGATGACTTTAGAGTGTAAAAATTTTTAACATGATTTCAAAAGTGGTTCCAGTGATAGTACTATAAGAATAAAGGAAAGTCTAATCATATTTATGATTAAAAAAATGCTTTTGATATATTGAGAATAAGCAAATTTAAAAAGAGGTTAAAATTATATATATTTTTTATTTTCAATTATTATTATTGTAGATTACTGTTCTTATATAGATTATGAATTAATTAATAAAATTTAAAGAAACAATATTTTATAGAATTTTATTAATATAATTTTATAAAATTTTATGTTTTTTAAAATTTTATTAATTAATTTTAACTTTTTGTTTTTTTTTAAGTTGAAGTTTCTATCTTTGAAAAGCAATGTTTTTATTCAAGTTTATTAAATACAGATGCTTTTAAGAGCATCTTTATATAAAAGATTACAACTATGCATGCTAATTAAATCTAGACAAATCTCAAGTTCCTAAAAAATAAGTACTAATTATAGGTTGTATTATCACTTCTAATACATTAAACTAAAAAAGAATTTTTTTTATATTATAAGCTCTGAAATCAGTATCATAGTTATTACAGTTACACATTACATATAATCAATTATCACATGTAGATTCTGTTACTTACCTAAGTAATTAGTCATATAAAAAATAAAAGAAATTTTATTTTTCTTATTTTTATTACTTTTCTTACTTTTATTAGACTAGTCTTTACAGTAGTACTATTGAAGATCTATGCTATCTTTTTACTCAGATCTTCTCAAATAAATTTTTTGTTTTTTAATTTCAATAAATTTATACAGTTACAAGAACTTATCTAGAGTTTGTACTAGTTTGCATTCTTTTATATAATATTATACTTATATAGATGCCTCATAATCTATTAGTTATATTAGTATAATTACTATTACAGATATCTTAAATCAATTATTAAAAACAATTATTTTAATATAAGTATTATATAGGTAATTATTCAAATTTTAATATTAATAGGATTTAAACACCCAACCTATTACTTGGAAGGTTGACAACTTATCTACTTCACTAAGTTGTCATACTCTTAATTTTATTAATATTAAACTATATTATTATATAAATTTAATAAAAAATTAGTTAAATTTAATAAAAGAATTTAGATATAATCACAGCTATATATAGCCTATACTATATATAATATATATTAACTATATATTTACTGTATTGCAGATTAATTTTTTACAATATTATTTATATATAATATGTAATATAACTATTATATAACACATGTGATTTTTAATTTTTCACTATATAAAAAATTATATCACACTGAGTACTAAAGATAATGTAATACAATATTTGTTATATACTAATTACTTTATAACTTGTTAGTTAACTAATTTACTAACTTTCTAACTATAAACTTAACTTTATTTTTATACTAACTTGTTAACAACTATATAATTTATTAAAACTAACTTGTTACTATATAAATTATATATACTAACTTGTTACTTATTATATAACTTGCTATATACTAACTTGCTAATTACAACTCATTATATAACTATAACTAATTTGCCTAATTACAATACAATTTACTAATTAACTTATTTAAGTATTATGCAATCTACTAATTAATTTGCTAACTATAAACTTAATCATAACTTTATATTAATTCACTAATTACTATATAACTATTATATATAAACTTTTTAAATATTATAATCTGCTATATACAAACTTATTAATTACAAATTACTATATACAAACTTGCTAATTACAATCTGCTATATACAAACTATATAATTGTTATATACTAATCTGTCTAATTATTATAACTCTTTATATGCTAACTTGCTGCCTCACTAATTATTATAAAATTTACTAACTAATTAACTTATTTTGCTAATTAACTTTAATTTACTCAAACTTAATATATTAAATCTAACTTGCTATTATATAATTAACTAAAAATAATATAATAATTATTTTCTAATACTAAATCTAACTTTAATTTATTAAATCACTAATCTACTAACTTCTAGTTCAGATAGTCTAGAAAGATAGATAAAATTATACTTTTAGTTTACATATTTTCTAATATGCAATATTTTTTTTATTATTTTTTTCAGAATTCTGACAATTTGGTTGATTATAATGATCTTTTTTCAAAGACCAGTATATTATTTAATTTTACAAGTTTTTGCTTTATTTTTTAGATCTAGTCTTTACAGTAACACTATTAAAAATTTAGACTATTCTTCTATTTGAATCTTCTAAATAGAGTTCTGTCTTTCTAATTCTTATAATTTATATAACTATAAAGACTTATTATAGATTTATACCACCTAGTACTAGTTTGTGTTCTTTTATACAAAATACAACTATTGTATAAATGCTATATAACTTTTCAGTTATGCTGGTATAATATAGATAATAAGCATTTGATTTTAACTAATTGTAAAAAATAGTTAATCATAATATAGAAAACATTTCAAATTTTTGTTAACACTGAGATTTAAACTCTAGACCTGATACTTAAAAGTTATCAACATAACCACTTTATTATGTTATTATATCTTCACAAACTATATAATTTTAAAACTTTTTAACTAATTTTTTATAATTTATGTTTTATATTTTTAACAATTATTAATGCTAGTCTAAATTAAATTATTTATTTTTTAAAATTAAAGTTATTTAAAGCAAAGCAAAATTATATATTTATAAACCAATTAAATTATAAAATTTTAATAATTACTAATAAAACAAAACAAAAAATAAAAATAAAAAACCTTCAAAATATGAAAAATAGTAGTTTAAATCTATTTCAGATAGATTAATTAAAAATGGTAAGAAAACAATTTTGTTTATATATAATTATTTCAAAACTCAATCTAACTCTAAAGTTAATTTAATAAAATATATTATAAAAAATTTATATTGCTTTAAATATTCTTTAAAATTAGTATTTTTGTGATTAAATTATAGAATTCTTTTATATTATTTATTATTTTCTGTAATATTTTGCAATAAAATAAGTATATTTTGTAATATAAACCTATTTCTGTAAATTCTATAATATTATGTAAAATACAAAAAATTATTAGTCTTGCTTACCAATTGCTGTATTTAATATTCCTACTAAGATGTTTATTTTAAACTTTTTGACTCTGCATTTTTGTATTTACTTTACTGAGTCATAATTAGATTTTAGTTAGAATTTAATATATTTTAAAATTATATATTTTTAAAAATAAAAGACATACAGAATCTTTGTTATAAAAATTACTTTTTAATATTTTCCAATTAAGCTAATTTAGACAATTTTAGACAAATATACCAGTTCTTAATTGTGATAAATTACTTTTTATCTTTATTAATTTAATAGTTTATTAAATAAACTATTAAATTAATAAAGGCAAAAGATAATTTACTGCAAGCAAGAATTGGTATATTTGTTTAAGTTGTTTAAATTAACTTAATTAAAAAATGTTAAAAGTTCCACTCATCTATTTTCAAAACCTTTTGAATTAAAATTCTTCTGAATAAACTACCTGTTCCTTATATTCTTCACAAACATAACTCCTCTTACATTCCTCTCTGTCATTAATGCAATCAAAATAGCTTTTCATTATACTGGACTCTTTTTCCTTCTACCCAAACAATTTATCACCTAATCTCTAATTCTCTTAATTGTATTTTAAATGCTTCTGCTCTTGACATGTCCTCCAATCTTGTTTCTAATCTACACCAAGAAATTCATTTACTTAATAGCTTTAAATTGCATAACTTTTCACAAATGCCATCTCTTATTTCTACTCTATCTGGTTTAATTCCTATTGACCTTATCTCTACTATCCATCAAACTTCTATTCCTTATCGTACAGCTACTTCTCTTTCTATCAAATTTCTTCTTTACTTAAACCAACAAATATATAAACAAGTATAGATTCCATATTGCATTTCACATTCTGTACAGCCTCAAAACACACTTACTACAAATTTAACTCATGATTCTTCTGCTAGTCTACCTTCTATCTCAGTACCACAAATTATTACCAAAATTGACCTTTGGACTATCCAATGGATTA